CTTAGTTACAGCTTTCGCCGAGTCAACAGAACTTTCTATAATATATACATAAGTATGTCATCTACAAATAAGAGATTTTTTTTCCTTTTTTGATCTGTATTGCCTTTTATTTTTATTTCTTGCGTTATTACTTTGGCTGGAACTTCTGGTGACAATTTATAATTTTAGATTTTCCTTTTTATGTTTTCAATATTCTGAAATTTCAACACTGTGGATACAGATGTGAGTCTTTTTTCATAGTCTACAAAGGTTTCCAGGACTATTTCAATCTAAAGGCCAGCACATTTTTCTTTGGCTCCCAGTTCCTTCTGCCAATCAGTAACCACCTGGGACACACTCAAAAGTTCCAGCCCAGAGTTCATACCCACAGCTTCATATAGAATGAAACACCACTACCAGATCCAAGTAGGCACTGGTGGGGTAAGAGTAGAGGAAAGGAAAATCCAATCTAGCTATTCCAAAATGAGTCCAAATTTATCACCCAAATGCCCAGGTCCTATCCCTACTCTTTGTGCCCTTTAATGCTGGGCAAAGAACCTCCTCTAAACAGCTCCTGCACACAGGACCTTATTCCTGCATGCGCCTTGGGCTACTTTTTTCTTTTTATTTCTCCACAGGCATTGTGTCTATCATCATGAATGTATCACTTAATCTTCACAGCAATTCCATGCTTATTTTAAAGACAGGAAACAGGTTCAGAGAGGTAAATTAACTATTAACATGTCCAAGCTTACATGGTTTAGTAAGTAACAACTAACATTTAAACTCAGGATTATTCAACCCTGAAGCCCATACTCTCAGTCACTACACTGTGAGACAACTCATTGATCGAGAGGATGGAGAGGTTTGATTCTGTGGTGAAGAGTGATATTTCTCAAATTATTCACAAGGAAAGAGAGTACAGGATTATTTTTCAAGGTAATAGTGCAGTGTAAAAAACCCATTCCTGAGTGAATAACATAGTTAACATTCTCAAGGATGATTTTTCCCAATGGGAAAGCAGCCTCAGCTCCATAGATCTCTCTGAGAATAGACTTAAAGGCAGTGAAACAAATTAGGAAAACTATTAAAAGTTTTATTTGCTACATGCTCAAGTGTTGAGACACAGTCTCTGATGACAGCGCTGTCTTCCAAATTTTTTTTCATTATCATTCTTTCTTTTTCACACTGAAAAATAAATCCATCTATCCCAACTCCTAAAATAAATACATTACTTTTTTAAAGAAGGTTTCCCCATTAATCAACAATCAAGAATTGAGTTTAGAGATATCAATGATAAAAATTCTTTAAAGGATGTGAAGGAAATAAAGCACTATCTAGAAGCACTCAGCCCTACAGAATAACCTGAAACATGGACTGAGCAGGAATGTGTATAATAAAGGCTCAAGAAAGGGAAGAGAATACTTCCTGTATATACCAGGATACCCCTCTGTCAGCAGAATAGTTCTCCCACTTAGCAAAGGGGGTGTGTGTGTGTGTGTGTGTGTGTGAAGGGACTCCAAGATAATAGTGATTTTATTTTTTCCTTTTGTTTTCCCCATTCATTGGTCTCCCAAACCTGAAAATGAATATAGGGGAAAAAAGGAGATAGGGATGGATATGAGACACCTGGTTATAGTGAAAATAGCAACGAAGTAGAAATAAGCAGGCCTGGATTCAGCTCTGTCTTGTATCACTAAGTAGGAAGAGAAAACAAGAATAAATCATTTAGCTGGGCTTTAGCATGTCCTGTAAAAAATGAGGCAGGGGGCGAGGTCAGGGCTGGTAACATCCTAGCACTCATGGCTCTACCCTCCAAACAAGCCAACCAATCACAACAGTCTTTCTTGTTGTATCTGAGACCTCAGATTTTTCTCAAACAACAAATTAAATAACTCCAGACAGTCACTATGAATTTGAGTAGGCACAAGAAAGGACATCTATTTGTTATTGCTAGACTACATGACTACTGAGTCTCTCAACTCTAACAGGTTGAATCAATGGCTCTACAGCTAAAACCTCACTTCTAATCTCCTCTGCTCAATGGTTAGAACACCACCCACAGAACACCACTCCGTGCCCTAGAGTTGAAGTAGTAAGCATAACAAAGAGCACATTCCCCTTTAAACATGCTGAATAAGCAGCAAGAGATATATCAAACTGTTTAAAGGACCCATGATGCTAGACTTTTTTAGAAGTTTGCTGTGTTTCCTTTTAAATGCTTCCACGTAAGAGTAAACAGAAACCCAGTTAAATTCCCCAGTCAGCAAACAAAAATGATCTCATAGGAATCTCTGGTCTGAGTTCACACACTAACTGATTGGTAATAATACCTAGGACGTGCAAAGGGTTAAAAATCTGAAATAGACTGGATACAGGACCTGAAAGTAAGCAAAGAAAGGGATATGAAATAGAAGAGAACAAAACCCGGATCCACTCAGCTAGTGAACTTCCCACGTTCCATGCCTGCACAGGCGATGGGGTGAAAGTGCTACTAGCAGAGAAGAGGTGCAGATCCTTATCAGGTAAACAACAGGAAAATAAAAAAGATTACTAACGCCACCTTAAGTTACTGTTTCCCCAAACAAAATGAAGAGACCCTGACTTCAGGCCCAGGAGGGTTTGAAATTCCATGATCCACTTCACTGTTTTGCTCATTACTTTCCACCATTTTCTCAAGCACACTTTTTTGGGGTGTTCTGTAATGCTCACTTCTTCCTCCTGCTGGGAAGCTGTGGTAGCTTCCTATGTGCAGTTCGGCAAGCTTTCTCAAAACAGCACAGATCTTCATGGCCAGCAGATGGTGCTCTTATTAAGCCCTTTTTACAAACTTCAAAAGTTAACATTCTTTTGCCCAAGATTATGTATCCTCTACATTTTCAAATAAGGATTGACTAGACTTGATTACTTGAGGCAACAAGGAATCAAAGCCCCTCCTGCTGGAATACTAATAGGTATTGTACCCTAATCCCTCCACCTTCCACAGTCAGGCATAGAGATGGCTGTATACAGTTTCTCAATTTCTCACACCCAGATACACTTAATGGGAGTAGCTGAGGTGTGGTCAAGGTGGGAGACAGAACTCCAGGATAAAGAGCAATAGCTGATTGTCATCCTAACAAACACTACACAAACTGGTTAGGAAACACTAGTAAAATCCTACTTAAAAAAAAAAAAAATTTGTCCTAGGGGGCCAGAAAACAGCAAAGTATCACATTCAAACAAATGTAATCATTCGCAGAAACTAAAGAATGAGTCAAAAAAATATTTAACCTAGTTAAGGGGAAAAAAGTTGGAAATCTTTTAAAGAGGTTGCAAAAGGGTGGCCCCAGTGGTCAAATGTGATACACAAATGTTTGATCTACACAGTATTATGCCGACTTGCTAGTGTTGACTGTCACAGGTTGCTACACGATGAGATATTGGGAATCTCAATATATTGGGGGTGATATTCACATAGAATATAATGTGAATGGTGCCCTCTGGAGTTGGTATCTCTGGATTCCCTAGGAATCTTCTAATTTACAAACAGATTGCATTCTGAATATGGCAGTTGTTTGGATCAAAGCAAAATTACCCCAATAGGAACATTAATATACATGGTAATTAGGTGTCCAGGTCAACCTACAGAAGTCTAATTAAACTGCAGCAGTTCACAGATCCTACTAGGGATGGAGATATATATTTTCTCATTTACAGTCTCATAAGGAGAATTTAATGACAAACTTTCTTTCTTTTTTTTTTTTTTTTTTT